GGACTCATTCTTCATTGCCTGCCCTGGAATCTCACAGACTACACAATATTGAAGAAGTAAATGGCTACTTGTCTCCTCCCTGCACATAGTACCTTTTAGCATGTTTCCAATTTTCCAAACACAAGGGATGATTGTGGCCCTAGATCTGCCATGACCTATAGACTACTATGATTCCCTCACTGCAAATCCCTATCTGGTGCCCACTCAGCCGCTATTTGAGTAGGCAAAATGACACTTAATCTCCCTGGGTCTCATTTAGTCACTTTCAGTGCATCTTTTCTATAAACCTTGCATGCTGGAAGTAGAACTAGAAAGACTATGCATTATCTGAGTTTTGTAAATTGCTAGAGAGGAAAGTCATTCTGATGCACAATCGCAACTTTGTTTTTCCCTCAGAGGCTCTTTTCAATTCTTTTTTACTTGCTTTTGATTTAAAACTGACATTTGTAAAGGAGAAGGGTGTTTCTAAAGAAAAGGATACCTCTTATATTGCTTGGAGGTAAGGGTGATGGGTAGGTGACTGTTGTCCCTTCACATTTATTAGTGGTTACATTACCACTTTAGATATTCTGCTTTAGGAATATAGACTTTTTGAAAGTTGCTGGGGGGGGGAGGGGTTAGTGTTCCGAGTGTTCCGTTTGGGCACCAGTTTGAGTCCCAGCTGCTCTTCTTCCAATCCATCTCTCTGCTATGGCCTGGGAAGGCAGTGGAAGATGGCTCAAGTCTGTGGGCCCCTGCACCTGCATGGGAGACCCTGAGGAGGTACCTGGCTCCTGGCTTCGGATCGGTCCAGCTCCAGCCTTTGCAGCCATCTGGGGAGTGAACCAGTGGATTGAAGACTTCTCTCTCTCTGCCTCTGCCTCTCTGTAACTCTGCCTTTCAGATAAATAGATAAATTAAAAAAAAACTGCAGAGAGGATGTCATAGTCACACTCACATAGTGTTACTTAAGAAATAAATATATATCTGCACTTTTAATAAAAACATAGTTGAGGTACTAATCTGTAATTGGGTAAGAAATTGGTAAGAAAATAAATTATTTAGCACAATCTCTAGGCAAAAGGGAAAGCCACGCTTGATTAATCTGTTAGAGCTTTTAAGGGACTTAAATATAGAGGAAGGGTTAACACTACGTTACGTTACGTTTTGTTTTTGTTTTTAATATTTATTTATTTATTTGAAAGTCAGAGTTACACAGAGAGAGGAGAGACAGAGAAGTCTTCCATCCTATGGTTCACTTCCCAGATGGCCGCAACGGCCGGAGCTGTGCCAATCCAAAGACAGGAGCCAGGAGATTCTTCTGGATCTCCCACGCGGGTACAGGGGCCCAAGGACTTAAGCCATCCTCTACTGCTTTCTCAGGCCATAGCAGAGAGCTGGATTGGAAGAGGAGCAGCCGGGACTAGAACCGGCGCCCATATGGGATGCTAGCACTTCAGGCAAGGGTATTAACTCACTGCGCCACAGCGCCGGCCCCTGTTTTTTTTTTTTTTTTTTTTTTTTTTTTCAAGATTTTTTTTTTTTTTATTTGACAAGTAGAATTACAGTGAGAGAGAGAGACAGAGAGAAAGGTCTTCCTTCCGATGGTTCACTCCCCAATTGGCCGCCACGGATGGAGCTGCACCAATCCGAACCCAGGAGCCAGGTGCTTCTTCCTGGTCTCCCATGTGGGTACAGGGGCCCAAGCACCTGGGCCATCCTCCACTGCTTTCCCAGGCCACAGCAGAGAGATGGATTGGAAAAGGAGCAGCTGGAACTAGAACCGCCGTCCATATGGGATGCCGGCGCTACAGGTGGAGGATTAACCTAATGCGCCAGGGTGCCAGCCCCAACACTATGTTATTTACAGCATGATCTTGACTGTGTGAAAATGGGCCAAGATGGAGAGTCCTGGCCCATGTAAAGGATAGCATAGATATAGAGTAGAGGGTAGTGTGTGATGCATCCACTCGTCAGCCTAAAATAGAGTGTTACAAAAACCAGTGACAGTCACACATGAATTTTATTGAAAATGAGAAGCAAATGAGAGGCAAGGTAACCGATCGGGATTGGCCACCGTTCGGGACCAAGACTCCTTACCAGAGTGCGGCCCCCAACAGCGGGTTACACAGCTTTTTATAATAGTATTCTATCCACTAGGGCTCACAATTTTGAACCAGACCCCTGCTATGCAGTGAACAATAAAGAGGAAAACCAGAATATGGTTGTAAGATAACAGTTAGCAACAACAAACCCAATAACAGATCCAAGATATGGTTGTAAGATAACAGTGAAGGACACATTTCAGTCGACCTAGTTCCTGGGAATTTGGGCCCACATAGTTTCACAAGATACACCCTTAGCCATTAGCAAGCAAGCTAATATGTGCAGAAGCAGGAGATCTGCAATTAGCTTTTAGCCACACTCCATTTTAATTCTGATTCTACATTTCTCCCTTTTCTAGACACTAATCAGACCTTTAATTCATCTTCTTTAACACTTTTTTTAAGGATTTATAATTTGCTTTTAAGACCATTAACTTCACTATGCTAATTTTTTTTCTAGTAACACATTTTATAATGTACGGGCCTAGAAGCAGGGCAGGAAAATCAGAATTACAGGGCCAGCCAGTGCTGATAGTAGAGTAGTAAGCCATGGTGAGCTGGCAAACCAACCCTGAAACCATCCATAGGTTTCTTGTCTAGTTATAGTTGCTTTTTTATTTATCCTAAGAATACCTTAGGCCAATGATGTCCTAGTCTACAGTCAGCCACTTAGGACTCCTTCTGAAGCAAAAGTTCAGGCAGCTGCCAGACATTTTCCAAAGGTTACTGTGGACACCAATCCAAGGACAAGAAGCCCACTGGAGTGGAGGTCAAAAGACCTGACTTTCCTATCTGGCTCTCTCATGATAAAACAAGAGAGTCCTCAGAGGGTCAGATACCTAATTTGTTTATCAGTAAACAAGGAGCTGTTATGGTGAAACTGCAACAGGAGAGGGGGAGCAGATACCAGTTGGAGGACAAGGACTGGAAGGTGAAAGCCTGGAGATGGCCATTCCCAAACTTGCAAGAGGATTATTGATAAGACAGGGGAAGTAGAGTCGTTAATGTAAGAGAGTGGCTATGATTACAAAGGAATGAGGCCCCAAGAAGGCTAGACAGGGTCTAGAACAGAGGACAGAGTCATTATTAGAGGACCTAAGAAAGATGCTGTCTAAGCCAAATAGAAACTGACAGAAGAGGCCTGATAATAATCAGGTGGGCTTTAAGGCCTTGTCAGTTATGAGGCCCAGACCTATCTATCTCTTCACATGGAGTACAACCTAAGAGAGGTGTGAACCTCCTTGGGAAGGCACCCTGTTGACTCCCATTATTTAGCTGGCCTGGGAGGAAAGCTGGCCAGGTAAAGGCAAGTGGCATCTCTAACAGGAAATTGGGCCCACATAGTTTCACAAGATACACCCTCAGCCATTAGTGAGCAAAGCTAACATGTACAGAAGCAAGAGATCTGCAATTAGCTTTCAGCCACACTCACTCCATTTTGATTCTGATTCTACATATGTTAAATATTTAGCAAAAAAAAGTTATTTTTCAAAGTAAGTATGTGAAAACTTGAAACTGGAAAATAAATCCAATGATGGAGAGTTCTTTTGAAAGAGAACAAAAGGCAGAAAACAAACCAATAATCTTGTGAACCAAGGTCAGAGAAGAGTCCTTGAACTGTTTTATTAACTTAGACCCTGAGGGGCGGGTGCTGTGGTGCAGCGCCCTGGCCTGAAGCGCTGGCATCCCATATGGGCACCGGTTCAAGACCCGGCTGCTCCTCTTCCAATCCAGCTCTCTGCTATGGCCTGGGAATGCAGTAAAAGATGGCCCAAGTCCTTGGGCCCTTGTACCTGTATGGGAGACCCGGGAGAAGCCCCTGGCTCCTGGCTTCAGATCGGTCCAGCTCCAGCCATTGCAGCCATCTGGGGAGTGAACCGACGGATGGAAGACCTCTCTCTTTCTCTCTCTGCCTCTCCTTCTCTCTCTGTGTAACTCTGACTTTCAAATAAATAAATAAATCTTTTTTGTTTGTTTGTTTGTTTTGACAGGCAGAGTTAGACACAGAGAGAGAGAGAGACAGAGAAAGGTCTTCCTTTTTCCGTTGGTTCACCCCCCAAATGGCCGCTACGGCCAGAGCTACATCCATCCGAAGCCAGGAGCCAGGTGCTTCCTCCTGGTCTCCCATGTGGGTGCAGGAGCCCTAGCACTTGGGTCGTCCTCCACTGCCTTCCCAGGCCAGAGCAGAGAGCTGAACTGGAAGAGGAGCAACCGGGACTAGAACCCGGCGCCCATATGGGATGCCAGTGCTGCAGGCGGAAGATTAACCAAGTGAGCCACGGCACCAGCCCCTGATTAATCAAGTCTTACCTCCTGTCTGCTTCCCAGGTAGTAGGAACTGAGATAAAAGGAAAGAAAATTATTCTACTTCTTCCTTCTCTTTAAACTCTGGATCAGCCATTTTGAAAGACACCTGCAGAATGTTGAAACTTGAGTGAGATTGGCTCTGCTAAGGCTCACACGTAGAAAAAGCAATGTTCCTTCTTATCCTGGCTGCTGATAGCATGTGGAAGACAAGACAGACTGAGGAATTTTTAGTGCATTCTGTTTTGTGGGATGTCAGCAATAAAGTAACAACTCACAGGAGATTGGGAACCAAAGGTTCAGGCTCTAGAAGAATATCAGAGTTCCTGCATGCCACCAATAATTCTCCCTGGGATGGGGTGCTTGTAACAAGGGCTGTAAGAAAATGACCTGTCTTCTTCAAAGAAGGAGTTCTGGGCAAATACTTATAGTTCCAATATTTCCAAGGCATCATTTTATTTCTTTAAATAAGAAGAAATGAAATCCATTGTAAGAACTGCCATTTTAAGGAAATGTGATCAAACCTGTACATAAATGGCCTTATGAAAATCCTTAGTTTTTGGCAAGCCAGGTTGTTGCCAGTGTGAAAGTTACTGTTCATGTCCTAGACAGCTGCTCAGGAAGCAATCCTGCACGCATCTGGAAGTGGCACTCCTTCACCATCTAAGGACTACTGCATGCTGTATAACGCTCACTGGACAGAGCTCCCAAGCACCCTAGACAATGCAGTAAGTAAATCACAGTTACTGTTTATTCATAAGTATAAAAGTATTGAAAAAGTGAGAGCACAAAATAGTTATGCTGAAGTATGTAAGCTAGTTGTAATATGTGGTGATTGGGTGGTGATGATGATTTTATTGATTTTGTGCAAATTTTTTTAATCTGTGGGGAAAACATGTCAGAATTTTTAAGTGCTTACCCTTAAGCCTGGTTGTTTTTCATAAAATATTTCTAACTTAAGAGAACATTGTATTAATATTGGTGTCTTAGCACTGAATGTGGTTAGGGTAATATATTTGTCATGTTAAAGACATTTCTTACTTTCAGACTTCCATTAGTTTGATGAATCTGACTACCACATCACTATGCAACCTTTCCGATATCCCTCCTGATGGCATAAAGAACAAAGCAGTCGTGGTAACTTGGGGACCCTGCCATTTTCTTGAAAAAGCCAGAATTGCACAGAAAGGAGGTGCTGAAGCATTGTTGGTTGCCAATAACAGTGTCCTAGTAAGTTCTAAAACTATAGTAACTTCTTCTGAACACATGACATCAAATTTCACAGGAATTAAATTGTCTGTGTGTGTGTGTGTGTGTATGAAATTTGAATAATCTAGTAATAGGATTCTTTGTGAATAAACATTCTGGATCTGGTAGACATTGAATTGGAAGATTTTTTTAGTTTTTGTTCTGTTCCTAGTGTAGACTGTTTGGAACAATTATATAGATGCATATGTATATATTTGGTATGTGCGTGTTACATATGTACATAGTTCATATCAATATAATTCACGTTGAAAAGATTCCATTTTGAGAACTTGTATTAACAAACAGTGCCTGAAACTTTGTTTTATAACTTAAAGATATAATGTTTATATTTAATGGAATAGTTTGCATTATTTTTATTCTTTAATAAACATTAATAAATATATTGAATAACTAATATATTAAATAATAGATAAACTGCATAATATGTTCTTTCTCTTTTAGTTTCCTCCCTCAGGGAACAGATCTGAATTTCAGGATGTGAAAATACTGATTGCATTTATAAGCCACAAAGACTTTAAGGATATGAATCAGGTAAATTAATAATTTTGTATTTGATGAAATTCATAAATAGTAAACTTCTAACTTTTGACTACTGATACTTAGTTTTGATTATTATATATGCTCCATTTGTTATTAACAAGAAGTGAAAAGCCCTATCAAGTTTTTGTTTGAAAAATACTCATCTGATTTGGCACAAAACAAATCAAAACCCAGACTTAGAAAGAAAGGGTGTTTGTTTTGAATTCTCTCTCTCTCTTTTTTTTTTTTTTTTTTGACAGGCAGAGCTAGACAGTGAGAGAGAGAGAGAGAAAGGTCTTCCTTTCCCATTGGTTCATCCCCAAAAATGGCTGCCACGGCCAGTGCGCTGCGGCGATCCGAAGCCAGGAGCCAGGTGCCTCCCCCTGGTCTCCCATGTGGATGCAGGGCCCAGGCACCTGAGCCCTCCTCCACTGCCTTCCCGGGCCACAGCAGAGAGCTGGCCTGGAAGAGGAGCAACCGGGACAGAATCCGGTGCCCCAACCGGGACTAGAACCCGGGGTGCTGGCGCTGCAGGCGGAGGATTAGCCAAGTGAGCCGCGGCGCCGACCATGTTTTGAATTCTTATAAAATATCCTGTGTCATGTCATGTATCTTAATTTTAAATCCCTGAACAGAATGTGATTGTGTGGAACACTGTACTTTCAAGATTTTATAAACAAAGTGTATCCTTATTTTTGACAAAAGTATGTATCATATTTTCTAGTCTTTTTGACTCTGACATCTAGTGTCCATTTCAAAATGAAATGAAGAATATCGTTGCCATACTCTTTAGTAAAGGGAAAACTCATTCCTCTGATCAACTGTTACTTTGCCTTTCAGACCCTTGGAAGTAACATTACTATAAAAATGTATTCTCCTGCCTGGCCTAACTTTGACTATACTATGGTGGTGATTTTTGTAATTGCTGTGTTCACTGTGGCATTAGGAGGGTACTGGAGTGGACTAATTGAATTGTAAGTTTAAACTTTAGTGTTTTGTGATAAATGCTTAAAAACATTGTTTGATAATCATTTTAATCATATAATGACATACAACATTTTTATCTGAGTGCAGAATAAAGTTCTAGGAAGACTAGAGGGTAGATTTATCTTCATGTGTGTGTCATTTAACTTTTTTTTTTTTTAAGATTTATTTATTTATTTGAAAGTCAGAGTTACACAGAGAGAGAAGGAGAGGCAGAGAGAGAGAGAGAGAGTGAGAGAGAGAGGTCTTCCATCCACTGGTTCACTCCCCAAATGGCCGCAACAGCTGGAGCTTTGCTGATCCAAACCCAGAAGCCAGGACTTCTTCCGGGTCTCCCACATGGGTCCCGGGGTCCAGGGACTTGGTCCGTCTTCTATGGCTTTCCCAGGCCATAGCAGAGAGCTAGATCGGAACTTGAACCAGTGCCCATGTGGGATGCCGGCAGTGCAGGCGGTGGCTTTACCCACTGCGCAGCGGCTTTAGCTGCTACGCCACAGCACTGGCCCCTGTCATTCAACTTTTCACCCTAGAGAGTAGAGTTGTAGGTTCCCGTAACTCTTCCACTGCTGGAAACTGAAGCTGCATCACAGACTCTTTTGTATTGAAATGTTTAATTATCTTTCCCAGGAAGGGTGAAAATAATATTTTGCCATGCCTGTTTATTTAGATTGGAAGAAAATAAGCAAGAAGGTAGGGAATTTTCAGCTACTCCTGGTTTAGGTCATTGCAACATGGCCTCAATCATTATGTTTAATGCTTTAGGAATTCTAAGGATACTAAGTATGTCCATATTCTATTTTAAACATAGAAATTCCAAATGTACATAAGATTTGGATTTTCTTATTTAATAGCAATGTAAACCCTAAATATTCTCTCCCTTCCACCCCCTCACTGTAGATTAAAACAGACAATAAAGTATAGAAGGCTTGTTATTTTTATAACTGAATACAAAGCTGTGCTCTGAGCATATTATTTCATTTATAAATGACAGTATTTATGTGGTGAATTAATCTGTATAGGTCCCATTCAAAAGTGCTTGTTTGTAACTACTTCAAACTAAGCTTATTTGTAATTTCTTTTTTTTTTAAGATTTTATTTATTTATTTGATTTATTTGAGAGGTAGAGTTACAGATAGTAAGAAGGAGAGACAGAGAAAGGTCTTCTATCCACTGGTTTACTCCCCAAACGCCTGCAATGGCCAGAGCTATGCCAATCCGAAGCCAGGAGCCAGGAGCTTCTTCCGAGTCTCCCATGTGGGTGTAGGGACCCAAACACTTAGGCCATCTTATACTGCTTTCCCAAGCCATAGCAGACAGCTAGATTGGAAATGGAGCAGCCAGGATTAGAACCAGCACCAATATGGGATGCCGGCGCCACAGGCGGAGGATTAACCTACTTTGCCACAGTGCTAACCCTGTGTAATTTCTTAAATGTTGGATTTTGATTGACTTACATCAAGAGAGACTTGTTAAACTCTCAGAGTTTAACGAGTATATGTTCCTAGAGTTTTGAGTTGAGTGTTTAAATATTTTACATAATTGGAAATCAGGTTTCCAAATATATCAGTCACTTTTTTTGATAAGTGTGTTTTGCCCCTTCTAATTAATATTTATAAAACATAGTATGTAAGATCTTTACAATGTCTAGTATAATTTTCTGTATTACTTGGTGAAACTTTGGAAAATTATTTTCTAAAAGCCACTGGTTTATTGAAAATGCTTTGATAGAAATTCTCACTATACTTCCATTACCTTGTAAGTTTTTTTTGTTGTTTGTTTTGTTTTTTTAAAGTAGTGCTTCTCAAACTGTCTGGAGATCGTGTTAAAATACAAAATCAGATTGAGTAAGTTTGACATGGGAGCCAAAACTGCATTTTTAATAAGCTTCCCAGTGATTCTGCTGGCCCTCTTTGTATTAGCCACATGGGCCACACTTTGTTTTAGCAAGGCAAGCTGCTGTCTGGACAAACTCCTTCTCAAGAAAAGTGGAGAGTAAGAGTAATACAGGGACCAGTGTTATGGTGTAGTGGGTACAGCACCACCTGCAACACCCATGTCCTGGCTACTACACTTCTGATCCAGCTCCCTGCTAATGGCCTGGGAAAAGCAGTGGAATATGGCCCAAAAGTTTGAACCTCTCCGCTACCCACATGGAAGACCTGAAAGTAGCTCCTGGCTCCTGGCCTTTGCCTGGCTCTGCCTTGGCTGTTGCAGCCATTTGGGAAGTAAATCATTGAATGGAAGACCTCTTTCTCTAACGCTGACTTTCAAATAAATAAGTAAATCTTAATATATATAAAAAAAAAAAAGCTAGCCAGATTAGGTGAGGGAATGTCCCATACCTGCAGGATTATGGAATTTTAAATTGAGGGGACTGATTCTAGGAGCAAAATAAAGATACAGTTAAGTAAGTACATGTGAGGGGGAGAGTGTGGTGGCCATATGGAGAAAGAGAATATGTCAACAAGAAAAAATACAACTTTTTAAAAAGAGGTGAATTGTAATGTTTTAGTGTGACAAAAATCTAGTACATGCCTTTCCTTCAAGAAATTGCCTTGAACTTTTTAAGTACATTGAATATAAGTATGTAAATATTAAATAATATGACTTGTATATGTACTATAATAAAAATATCTTTAGATGTGTATGTTGGCAATGACCTTTTCCTACGCAGGTACCACATTTATTGAAACTTCTGTATAATACCTTGTCATCCAACTGTGGAGTTTTAGGGGGATTCTGTTGTGAGCTCCCAGCAACTTGCCCCTGTCTGCCCAGCCATCCCAATCAATTATTTTATTTTTATATATTTATTTAATTTATTTAAATTATTTTATCTTTCTTTTCTTTTCTTTTCTTTTCTTCTCTTCTCTTCTCTTCTCTTCTCTTCTCTTCTCTTTTCTTTTCTTTTCTTTTCTTTTCTTTCTTTTCTTAAGATTTATTTATTAAATTGAAGTTCAGAGTTACAGAGAGAGAGAGACAGGTCTTCTATCTGCTTGTTTACTCCCCAGTTGGCCACAACAGCCAGAGCTGTGCCGATCCAGAGCCAGGAGCCAGGAGCTTCTTCCAGGTCTCCAAAGAGGGTGCAGGGGCCCAAGCACTTGGGCCTTTTTCTACTGCTTTCCCAGGCCATAGCAGAGAGCTGGATTGGAAGTGAAGCAGCCAGGACTCGAACTGGCGCCCATATGGGATGTTGGCACTGCAGGCAGCAGCTTTACCCGCTATACCACAGTGCCGGCTCCCCAATCAATAATTTTCTAATGATAAAGTGGCATGTTGATATAAACAGTTGGCAAATGTCCAGTTTCAGCTCACTTAGCTAATCCTCTGCCTGCAGCGCTGGCACCCCGGGTTCTAGTCCTGGTTGGGGCACCGGATTCTGTCCCAGTTGTTCCTCTTCCAGTCCAGCTCTCTGCTGTGGCCCAGGAAGACAGTGGAGGATGGCTCAGGTGCCTGGGCCCTGCACCCACATGGGAGACCAGGGGAGGCACCTGGCTCCTGGCTTCAGATCACCGCAGTGCACTGGCCGTGGCAGCCATTTTTGGGGGTGAACCAACGGAAAAGGAAGACGTTTCTCTCTCTCTCTCTCTCTCTCTCTCTCTCATTGTCTAGCTCTGCCTGTCAAAAAAAAAAAAAAAAAGGAAGTAAACTTTTTTCAGCCTTCAGTTTGTCTTGAGCTGATAATCAAGGTTAGGATACACTCAGGAGGGAGCAGAGTTCAACAGAACAGAGTTAAAGGAACCCGAGTGGGTGAAGTCTGTAGTAGATTATTTATAACTGGGAGGAGACAATAAGATTGACAGAACAGACAACACTTGCAGTTCTTTTTGACTTATTAGCTTTGTGACTCAGCATTGCTGGGAGAATTTGGGTCAATATTTTGCTATCTTAAAGATAAGCATATTTTGGACTTTTGAATCCTTCATAATACATTGATGAGCATATATTAGGCATATAGTAAATCCAGAGTTGGCTGATAGGAGAATTTAGAGTTCACATTTAGGAGAAGCTAATTTTAGAAATACTTTACTTTCTCCAAGTTGATAGCTGTAAGTGTATAAGAAGCATTGCTAGCCAGCGCTGCAGCTCACTAGGCTAATCCTCCGTCTTGCGGCGCCGGCACACCGGGTTCTAGTCCCGGTCGGGGCACCGGATTCTGTCCCGGTTGCCCCTCTTCCAGGCCAGCTCTCTGCTGTGGCCCGGGAGTGCAGTGGAGGATGGCCCAAGTGCTTGGGCCCTGCACCCCATAGGAGACCAGGAGAAGTACCTGGCTCCTGCCATCGGATCAGCACAGTGCGCCAGCGCGCAGCGCGCCAGCCGCAGCGGCCATTGGAGGGTGAACCAACGGCAAATGAAGACCTTTCTCTGTCTCTCTCTCACTGTCCACTCTGCCTGTTAAGCAATGCTTCTTCTTCTTTTTTTTTTTTTATCAATTGCAACTTATTACATCAATATAAAAGTTTCTAAAGTGGGTAATATAAATATCTGCAAATGTTAATTTGTTTATTTAATTAATGTCATCTACTTCCACAGTTTTGCCTCCAGATGAAAAGTGCTATTTTCAAAACCAATTAGAGCAGATTGTGTCTCGAGAGTAGAATTATGGGGAGCTTTTATATTCTAGATTATTTCTTTTGGTGTGCAGTTTTTAAAAAATGTGTTACTTGTGTAATTAGAAAGAAATATAAATTGGTGTCAGAGATGCACTTTTAAAAATAACTACTTGGACAAGATTTGCTGAAATTCCTATGTATGTTTTCCTCTGCAGGGAAAACTTGAAGGCATTGACAAACATTGAAGATAGAGAAATGAAGAAAAAGAAGGAAGAGTATTTAACTTTTACTCCTCTTACAGTTGTAATATTTGTGGTTGTCTGCTGTATTATGATGGTATTACTTTATTTCTTCTACAAATGGTTGGGTAAGAAGTTGTATTTTATGTTTGCCACTTTTAGCAAACTTCTTTTTACATTCTTTCCACTTACCCTTGTCAGATTTGTCTTTTCCTTTAAAGCATTCTACCTGCGAAACTTCAATTAATACCTTAGCTAACAGTAAATTTTTTAGAAAGAAGCATTAGGTCTCTATTACTCTGAAATAAAAAATACTCAGATTATTTTATCTTGAGATAAGAACACTTCATGGATGATGTGAAAGAATTGCTGTGGTCTCTAGGTTTCCCTGTACAGGTGAAGAATTATAGCCCCATATGTAAGCAGTGGACTGAGGACTTGTTGGTGGCTGTGTTTAGTTACGTGAAATAGAAGATTATTCAAATTACTGATTTACTGTCCTGCTTACCTTCAAATTATAGTTTATCCTTTTGTTAATTAAAAAAGATTTCTTTTTATTAGTTATTTGAAAGGCAGAGTTTTATATATATATATATAGAGAGAGAGAGAGAGAGAATATGCGTGCGTGCGTGCTTCCACCCCCTGGTTCACTCCCCAAATGGTCACAATGGCCAGGGCTGGGCCAGTCCAAAGCCAGGAGCCAGGAGCTTCTTCCAGATCTCCCATGTGGGTGCAGGGGCCCAAACCCTTGGGCTGTTCTCCATTGCCTTCCCAGGCACATCAGCAGAGAGCTGGCTGGGAAGTGGAGCAGCCAGGATTCCAGGACCTGAACAAGTGCCCATATGAGATGCCAGTGTCACAGATGACAGCTTTCTCCACTATGCCACAATACTAGCCCCGTCCTTTTGTTAATTTTTTTTTAAAGATTTATTTATTTATTTGAAAGGCAGAGTTACACAAAGAGAGAAGGAGAGGCACAGAGAGAGAGAGAGAGAGAGATCTTCCATCTGATGGTTTACTCACCAGATGGCCGCAATGGCCAGAACTGCGCCGATCTGAAGCCAGGAGCCAGAAGCTTCTTCCAGGTCTCCCATGTGGGTGCAGGGTCCCAAGGACTTGGGCCATTTTTCACTTCTTTCCCAGGCCATAGAAGAGAGCCGGACTGGAAGTGGAGCAGCTAGGTCTCGAACCGGCACCCCTATGGAATGCTGGTGCTTCAGACCAGCGTGTTTACCCGGTGTGCCACAGGGCTGGCCCCCCTTTTATTAATTTTCAAATCAAGATATCACATTGCTTGAGTTTTGTTTTACTTGTACAAGCAGTGGTCCTCGAATGTCTGGAGACACATACATCCTTGCCTGTGGTCTATAGAATAGCTGAGACATGTAATGGCTTGCACATTCCCTGGAGAATCTTACTAATGTTCTGACATAATGGAAGTTTGCCATCCCTGGCTAGTATATAGCATGAAAAGGGGAGAGACCAGGGAAAGGGAGAGTGTGTTTGAAAGGAGCTAGCAAAAACCCTTGTTTTTGTAAAAATGCCTAAAGACTACACGTTTTTAGGAGAATATTTAGATCATAATGTTTTGGAGAACATTAATATAAATTTCTGGACTAGTAACTGAGGCTGTAGGATTAGTTTGAGCTTCCTGTTCAATTTCCCCTGTGTCATGGCAGCAATTTAAAAACTAGACTTAGGACACTTTATGAATATCACTCATTTTAGTCTGTTGCAGATTATTATGCTGTTGATATGCAGCATTGAGTAGCTAATTGTATTGATTTAATACTCAGCCTTCACTTGTTTAATTTGTATCTGACTCTTAGTTGACATATTAGTGATCTTTGATAGAAGAGTCCTCTACCTTAAAGTGTATTTTAAATTTTTGATAAAAATTAGCTTAAACTTACTGATATTAAAGATGGCCTGGTGTGTGTGTTAAACCGCCTCCTGTGATGTCACCATCCCATTTGCTGCTGATTTGAATCCCAGCTGCTCTACCTCCAATCCAGCTCCTTGCTAATGTGCCTGGCCCTGTTTATAAATACAATTTTTAAAAAATAATTATTTATTTATTTGAAAGGCAAAGTTACAGAGAGGCAGAGGCAGAAAGAGAGAGGTCTTCCATCTGCTGATTCATTCCCCAGATGGCCACAACGGCTGGAGCTGCACCAGTCTGAATCTAGGAGCTTTTTCTAGGTCTCTCATGCGATTGCAGGGACCAAAGGACCTCCGCTACTGCTTTCCCAAGCCATAAGAGAGAGCTGAATCGGAAGTGGAACAGCCAGGACTCAGACTGTAACACATATGGGATGGCAGCACTGCAGGTGGCGGCTTTGCCTGCTGTACAACAGTGCTAGCCCCTTATTAACCAAATTCCTTCTCATGCCTAATCGTTTTCTTAGGTATAGTATGACATTGAATAAGATACCTAAAATTCTATTCGGGCCTTAAGCAACCTGATTTCCAGTAGTGTTTTAAAAATTGAGATTGTACAAGTTAGTAGCTAACTTACCAAAATCATTTTGGCAGTCTTTGACTTACTGACTTGCTGCTCACATTACTATTTATAACAGATAATAAAAATAACAACATATAACACATAGAAAGCTTATTATGTTCCAGATACTGTTCTTAGTAAGCATTTGACATACACTTGTAAAAACTTATCCAGTCCTCATGACAAGCCTGAGGTAATTGCTATTAAATTTACCAAAATCATTTTTGGTAATCTTTCTAACATTTTAGACATGAGGACTGAGGGGCTGAAAAACTAATTTGTCTAAGATTATTATTCAGAAAGTGGCTATCACTGATTTACTGTGTCTAACTTACTTCCTTTTATACCTAAAGGAGAGAATGGTGGTTTTTTTGAAATTAAGTGGAATTTGAAAAATTCAAGTAGAATTTGTCTTTCCATTTTGAGATTTTTGAGGAAGTTCCAGGAAGGAATCTTTTAGTTAAAATACAGTGATCCTTCTCCTCCTCCTCCTCCTCCTCCTCCTCCTCCTCCTCAACAATAACAGAAAGGTCAAATGTTTTTTCATTTTAAATCTCAAGTAAATATGGATCATACAGAAAAACATCTGCCGGTGCCGCTGCTCACTTGACTAATCCTCTGCCTGTGGCACTGGCACCCCGGGTTCTAGTCCTGGTTGGGGCGCCAGATTCTGTTCCGGTTGCTTCTCTTCAGTCCAGCTCTCTGCTGTGGCCCAGGAAGGCAGTGGAGGATGGCCCAGGTCCTTGGGCCCTTCTTCCGCATGAGAGATCAGGAGGAAGCACCTGGCTCCTGGCTTAGGATTGGCACAGCGCGCCAGCTGTAGTGGCCATTTGTGGGGTGAACCAATGGAAAAGGAAGACCTTTCTCTCTGTCTCTCTCTCTCTCACTGTCTAATTCTGCCTTTCAAAAAAAAAAAAAAAAAAAGAAAAACATCTAACATTTTCAATTATCTTAGTATCTTATCACAATAAACAAGATTGTTTACATGAATGTGACTTTTTTGATACTTCAAGTTATTACAGATAAATTCCCCATAGGAATCTATGGTTAACATCCCTTAAGTTGCATTTTTTAGAAGTGTTTCTTAATGGTTTATTAATTCTTCTGTCCCTTACATTTAAATTAAATATTTACAAATGTCTAATTCAGAAAACAAATAGTCATTACAAGTATCATCATCCAGTAAAAAGCTAAAATCTTTATGAATTTCTTTCTGTTCTCATATAATTCAGTGTCTCTTTTTTTCTAGTTTATGTTATGATAGCAATTTTCTGCATAGCATCAGCAATGAGTCTGTACAACTGTCTTGCTGCACTAATTCGTAAGATCCCATATGGACAGTGCAGGTATGTATCTCTTTTGGGGAATCCTTTAATATTGATACTTAATTTAAAACAATACAAGGGAAAGTGTGAGTGGTATGTTAACTTTTTAAAAAAAAATTTTGTGAGGCAGAGAGAGAGAATGCTTCCATCTGCCAATTCAATCCCCAAATGCCTGCAACTGCTAGGGCTGGGTGGAGCTGAAGCCAGGAGCTGAAACACAATCCAGGTCTCTCCTGTGAGATGTGAGCATCTTAACCACGAGGCTAAATACCCAGCCTAGGAGTGTTATTTTAAACCTGTGCAGTCTAATGTATGTTGACTCTATGGCTGTTTAAATTAATTAAAGTTAATAAAGTAAAACTAAAATTGCACATCTCTGGTCTCATAAAGCACATGTGGTTAGTGGCCACCATGTGAGACAGCACAAATGCAGAACATTTCCATCATTGAGGAAAGTTTTCACAGTCTGATAAACATGTTGTCTCATTTGTTTTACTTAAAAATCAAGATTTTTTAAATTGAAATTTTAGTCACTTCTTGTGTCTGTGCTGTATGTTTGCCCTTCTTATATCAAGTAAACATTGTGTTTCATCTACAGCATAAACAAAACTATTTCAATCTGTTTTTTAGGATTGTCTGTCGTGGCAAAAGCACTGAAGTGAGACTTATTTTCCTTTCTGCACTGTGCGTAGCAGTAGTTGTGGTTTGGGCTGTGTTTCGAAATGAAGATAGGTATGAATCCTGATTGTATTTCATTTTGCATTAAGGGTAAATTATCTTAGATATCGCCCTGATACTTATTACAATTACTGTGGATTTTTTAATTTTGCTTTTATTCTTGAAATAAGCTGCTTTTTTGTTTTTTGTTTTTTGTTTTTTAATTTGAAAGACAGAGATATCTCCCATCCTCTGGTTCACTCCCCATTTGTCCATACAGCCTGTGCTTGTCTAGGTTAAACCCAGGAACTGGGAACTCAATTAAATCTTTCACATGGGTGGAAGCCATAGTCTACTGCCTCCCATGGTGCACATTAATAGGAACCCAGGAGCAGAGCCAGGACTCAAACCTAGGCAATTCGATATGGGATGGCATCCCAAGTGGCCTCTTAACCTGTGTATTGAACACCCACCCTAATCTACTTTTCAAAGACCTTATGCTAATGGACTTGAGCTCATAGTATAGAGAAAGAAATATGATGTAAACGCCTGTATTTCAAAAATGTACTTAATAGCCACACAGTGGAGTGTAATACAGCTGTAAGAGTGAGGAAGATCTAAAAAAAAAAAAAATTGGAATACTTGTTTCTGTTCTTTGAATAGTATTGAAATACACTTGCTTAACACCAAACGTATAGCTGAAGCAAAGAGTAAAAATATAAGATGCAGGCCGGTGCTGCGGCTCACTAGGCTAATCCTCCACCTTGTGGCGCCGGCACACCAGGTTCTAGTCCCGGTCGGGGCACCAGATTCTGTCCCGGTTGCCCCTCTTCCAGGCCAGCTCTCTGCTGTGGCCAGGAGTGCAGTGGAGGATGGCCCAAGTGCTTGGGCCCTGCACCCCATGGGAGACCAGGAGAAGCACCTGGCTCCTGGCTTCGGATCAACGCAGTGCGCTGGCCGCAGTGACCATTGGAGGGTGAACCAACAGCAAAGGAAGACCTTTCTCTCTGTCTCTCTCTCTCACTGTCCACTCTGCCTGTCAAAAAAAAAAAAAAAAAAAAAAAAACTGATGAAGAATACAGAGAGTTTTTGATCTTTCATGTAAGAAAGAAGGGAATATATAAGGCATCTGTCTGTTTGCAGAAAGAAGGGATATGGAAGGTAACTGTCCTTTTACAGAAATAATAGCCAGAAAAAATTCATACTTAGCTTTATTTAATGATTTATTATATGTTATTAAAAACCACAACGATGTAATGGCCTAAAATTATAAAAACAAAGTTCATACACTTCAGACAGCTTTAAGGCAAGATAATCAATTGATAATTATGCTTGTCAGTTTCTGGTTAAGTAAGTTGCATAGCTCTTGTTTCCTTAATGTTCAAGCTGTCTGTATATTCACACCAATATCCCTTATTACCAGCTGCCTATCTAGAGACATACTTGTAAGTTCAAAGATTAAAGATAAATATGCACCTGCATCTGGTATATGCTCTTCTGAGGTAGCCTTTCAACTTTTTCTTAGTATAATAGTGTTCATTATTCTACTAGGACAGTAAATTACTGTGGTTACACTTGCTGTTTAATAACTGAATAGTCAGATCATAGACTTGGATGGTATTACTTCAGTGACCTATTTTTTTTGAAAAATGTCATCTAAAAATAACTTGATAAACTAAAGTTATATCTTTTGATTTTAGGTGGGCTTGGATTTTGCAAGATATCTTAGGGATTGCTTTCTGTCTGAATTTAATTAAAACACTGAAGTTACCCAACTTTAAGGTAAAGTATACTACTTTGCTGACTAAAATAATTTTTCTTTCTTTTTTTTTAAAGAATTGTATATTTATTTGAAAGGTAGAGTTACAGAGAGGCAGAGGCAGAAAGAGAGAGAGAGGTCTTTCTTCTGCTGGTTCACTCCCCAAATGGCTGCAGCGGCTGGAGCTGTGCCGATGCGAAGCCAGGAGCCTGGAGGTTCTTTTGGGTCTCCCACATGGGTAGAGGGCCTAAGGACTTGGGCCATCCTCCATTGCCATCTCAATCCATAGCAGAGAGTTGGATCAGAAGTGGAGCAGCCAGGACTCAAACCGGCACCCATATGGGATCCTGGCACTGCAGGCAGTGGTTTTACCCACTACGCCACAGCACCGACCCCAATTTTTTCTTTTTAATATAACTTTGTTAAGGTATAATTTACATGCAATAAAATGGATTTTTTTTAGATTGATTTAAAAGTCAGAGAGAGAGAGCTTCCATCTGCTGGTTCACTCCCCAAGTAGCTACAACAGCCAGGGCTGGGCCAGGCCAAAGCCATGAGCCAGGAGCTTCATGTAGGTCTCCCACATTTATGGCAGGGCACCAAGTACTTGGGCCATCTGCTGCTTTCCAAGCTGTTAGCGGGGTGCTGGATCGGAAATGGGTCAGCTAAGACAAACCAGCTCCCATAGGAGATGCACTGACATCGCAGGCATCAGTTTTACCCTCTGTGCCACAACACTGGCCCCGAAATGTACCAATTTTAAATGTGCTGCTGGGGTCAGTGTTGTAGTGCAATGGGTTAATCTGCTGCCTGTGATGCCAGCCTCCCATATGAGCACTGGTTCAAGTCCTGGCAGCTCTGCTTCTGATACAGCTCCCTTCTAATGCTCCTGGGAAAAGCAGTGGAGATGACCCAAGTAGTTGGTCCCCAGATGGAGTTGCAGGCTCCTGGATTCCTCCTGGTCCAGCCCTGGCCAGTGCAGCCTCTTAGGGAATGAACCAGTGTATGGAAAATCTCTTTCTGTCTCTGTTTCTAACTCTTTCTGTCACTCTACCATTCAAATAAATAAAAGAGAATAAAAAGTAAATGTACTTCTTGTTAAAATTTTATGAATATATAGCTTTGTAACCACTATTCTAATGAAGTTATAGAATGTTTCTCACCTCTTCAAAAAGCTCTATCATACCTTTTTGCAATCGGCTATAACCAAAAGGCCCACACAACCATGGATTTGCTAGCTAAAATATTTTTATCATTCATGTAATGTACCAAATTCATAAAATCTCTGTAAGATTATATATCAGTGAAGAACATTTATTTGATTCAGTGATTTTTTTAAAGCAAATCGGATAAAGATAAGGCTTTTAATGTAGTTTGTAAAATAAAACTACAAACAGTAAAGTTTTTAAAAACTAAAATTTTTGTTAAATGTTCTTTAAAAAATAATATTCAGGTGGATGTTCAGATGTTTATTTGTGGTTGCAAAATAGTTTAGTCTCTTATATTTTGATATGAGAAATTTCACTTTAAAAATTTTTTTTTTCAACAGTCATGTGTGATACTTCTAGGCCTTCTCCTCCTCTATGATGTATTTTTTGTTTTTATAACACCATTCATCACAAAGGTATGAGTACATTTTTGAAATCCATGAATACATGTTTAAAGGTTATCTTAATCCTCCTCTTGGATTATTGATTTTACAGTCATTTACAACTAAATTTCTATTGGACTTTTCATTGGAACTGACCTTTTAATAGAGGATATGTTCAAACTTTTAATTCATTTTGTTACACTATTAAAAAGTCTTCTTGTAGTGGGTGGCTGTGTCCAGGTGCTTGTTTCCAACACAAAAAAAGAATTTGAGGATGAGACCTAGGTAAAGGTCAGCAGAGAAGGAATATTTATTTGCATACAAAATGAAGTAAAAGTACACACTCAAGAAGGAATGCAAGCATACTTGAGAGAAAGCTGTACTCCTCAAGATTCGGGTCCATCCTTTTCTACTATCTGGAGGCATTAAGGAATGGAGCCTGTGGTGGGGTTTATTTAAATCTTCATGGGACAGAGTTTAGGGCAGGGGCTTGAGTACTGCCTGTTTCCTTGCTTTGTTTTGGAAAATTTGAAAGTGGCATAGTGTGTGGTACATGATACAAGTAGATGTGTCAAGTGTGGTAGTTTTATTATAATACCCTTATAATGTTCTCGAGGTCAATGAAACTGGAAGCTATGGTTTTCCATTGCAGGAAGTGGCAGGGGGTGGGGTGTTGAATGATATAAGTGGGGTTACAGAGAGGGGCTGGAGACCTCAACTCTGTTTTTCTAGCTGCTTCCCTGTATGCATCATCTTTTTCCCCCTTGAGATTTTCATCCTGTAATCTTTGTGGAAGGTCTAGGGAGGAAAGTCCATTTTCTATAACTTCTTCATGCTGTGACAGGGCATGGTCCTTACCTAACCAGGAAATGAAAATCCTTTGTTAACTGATCTAGAGGTTTGCCCAGTTGTTAGTAATGGTTGAAATCCCTCATGACCATCTTTTTTGTATGAAATTGTTGAATTCTGGAAAGGAAAAATTAGACAATCAGGATGTGTATACATGGACCAGAAATGAGCAAGAGTAAAACTCATGTTGGTTCTTTATGCTTCCAGGGTGGTAGAAGCTGAGGGACTTTCTTTACCAAAATAATGGAATCACTTGGCTTAGTAAATACTTTTGATATCTTTTTCCATGAGCCTACCATTAACATTAGTGGAGCACAAGTGAGGTGAGTGTTGGGAGAAAAACTCCCTGGCCAGTGTCTAGATGGACCTTCAATTCTTTTTCTCCTGGCTGACTTGCCAGATGACGTAGATTGGCCAGGTCTAGGTTCTTGTCTCTGAGACAAGAAGGTATTTGAGGATGAGACATAGGTAAATGTCAGCAGAGAAGCAAGATTTATTTGCAGTCAAAGTCAGAGTACACACTCAAGAAGGAGTGTAGGCACACCTGAGAGAGAGCTGCGTTCCACAAGTTTCTGGTCCATCCCTTTCTATGACGTGGAGACAGGGTGCAGGGTTTAATTAAATATTCATAAGCGACAGAGTTTGTGGCGGAGGCTTGAGTACCACCCATTTCCTTCCCTGATTTGGACAACTCAAAGTGTCATCGTGTCTGGTGCATGATAGGAGTAGGTGTGTTGGCCATGATGATTTTATAATGGTCTTAAAATGAGCTAAAGGTCATTGTGAATACAAGCCAGCAGCTGCTTTGGTTATTTTGGGTGGCGCTGGTTCTAAGTGGTGTAGAAGCTGCAGTTTTCCACTACATAGAAAGGTAGGGGCAGGAGGGGGCCCATTGCGGGTGGGGCTGCAGGGTGGGAACTGGTGACCTTAGGTCCTCCTTGCTAATTACCTCCCTGCTTACATCATCCTGACAGACACAAGTATGTGTAATTTTTCTTCCATTTTAAAATTAATTTTACTTACAAGAAAATAAATATGTTCTATAGACTGTATAGGTAGAAAAAAAGAGATGTGTCATTGCCTCTTTACTTTCTGAAGCCCTAATCTGAGCCTAAGGAAGAACAGCACACTGGAAGTCTGAAGGCCTGGAGTATAGCTCTATGACCTCATGACCCTTTCTGCTTCAGTTCCTAATCCACTGTGTAAGAGGCACATTGCCAGCTTTCCATCTGCCCATAATCAGCAGAATTCTTTGCTTGACAGAACCCAACCATAGCCTTCTGTAGTAAGAAAGTCTCATGCATCCAGACTGTGTGTAAAGGTCAAAGTGATGTTGGCCTCAAGAAAAACTCAGCTGAGGTGCACAGGCCTTCCCCTTTCTGTCCATTTGTTCCTCTCTCAGATTATCTTTCCATGAAGTGAGGACTAGGTCATATACTCCTAGCTCTGCCACTGGCTGCTCAATAAAATAAAGGTATTGGTTGAATATAATATGATATTCCTTCATTATTTGCCCAGTTTTCTACTTTGATCTTTTTATCATCTCATGAATATATCACTAATTGTTGCTTACTTCTCGCTCTCTCTCCCCTTCATTTTATTTTGATTCTTGCTGTGTAATTTTATATTCTCCCTTTATCTTTTTTCACTTGTACATATTTAATGTTTGATATTCACTATTTTTCTTCTCATTCTTTTTTTTTTTTAAAGATTTATTTATTTACTTGAAAGTGACAGTTACACAGAGAGAAGGAGAGGCAGGCAGAGAGGTCTTCCATCCACTGGTTCACTCCCCAGTTGGCCGCAATGGTCGGAGCTGTGCTGATCCGAAGCCAGGAGCCAGGAGCTTCCTCCAGGTCTCCCGCGTGGGTACAGGGGCCCAAGGACTTGGGCCATCTTCTACTACTTTTCCAGGCCACAGCAGAGAGCTGGATTGGAAGTGGAGCAGCCAGGACTCGAACCGGTACCCATATGGAATGCTAGCACTGCAGGCGGTGGCCTTACCCGCTATGCCACAGCACTGACCCCACCACTCTTTTTTTTTTTTAAGATTTATTTATTTGAAAGGCAGAGTTCCAGGGTGGGGTGAGGATCTTCCATCCGCTGGTTCACTCCCCAGATGGCTACAGCAGCTGGAGCTAGGCCAATCCGAAGCCAGGAGCCAGGAGCTTCTTCTGGGTCTCCCATGTGGGTGCAGGGGCCCAAGCATTTGGGGCCATCTTTCACTGCTTTCCCAGGCCATTAGCAGGGAACTGGTTAGGAAGTGACTTGAATCAGCACCTATATGGGATGCCGACACCTCAGATGGAGGCTTTACCTCCCACCCTACAGTGCTGGCCCCTTCCTTAGGCATTCCATCCATGAAATCACTGTAAAAATTTGCACTTCTAATATTTGCTGTACTAGCATAAGGACAAACATATACCCTGTTGGGAATCTAAAATAATGCCATCTAGTTTGTGTCAGTTTACTTGGTTCAAAAACGTGGTGTTTTTTTCAGCTGTTCCATCAGAGATTTCATAATGAAAGTGAAACATTCTCTGCAGTTCCATTCCCTTAAATCCATGGCATATTACACAGTGAACTGAGCTACAGACTGTAACTAAACTTTTTTTTTTTTTCTGAATGGCAGAGGTACAGAGATCTTCCATTCACTGGTTTACTCCCCAATGACCTGGGCTGCATCAGGACAAAGCAAGGATCCCAGAGCTTCTTCCAGGTCTCCCATGTGGGTGGCAGGGACCAAGGACTTGGACCATCCTCTGCTGCTATCCCAGGCACATTAGCAGGGAGCTGGATCAGAAGTGGTGTAGCAGGTCTTAAACTAGAGCCCATATGGGATGCTAGCATTGCAAACAGAGGCTTAACCTGCTATGCCGAATGCCAGCCCGTAACTAAACTTTTTTCAAATAGCTTTTCCATTTTAACATGAGTATCATTTTCAGAATGTCTTCAGACACTTGCACCTGCAAATGATTTCCATTCCCTCCATCTAAAATGTTCAGAATTTTTAAAGAATAGGATACTAATAAACGCAAGCCTTTTTTTCTTCCGTGCTTAGGAAATTTTTCTCCTTTTTTCCATCTTAGTTCCCATTGATGAGGAGTGTGATTTCTAGCAATCTGATACAGTAGAAAAAGCTGAAATGCTCTTTTAAATTCATTGTATACCTTCTTCTCTGGTTTGTTTGTATTGACTAAAGCTATAGATCTTCTTTATTTGATAAAATAAAAATCAAATACTTAATTTTACTTTTGTGATATTCACTATAAATTTGAGGGATTATATATCGCATATTCTAAACATGTGCCTTTACATGTACTAGGAGCAGAAGAGATGTCAGTGATGATCTGACATTAACTATTTTCAATAACAATTAGAAAATGAACTCTGTCTAGAAGTTTGATCACAGCCTAGGGGAATCTTCTTTAAGGAGCTGTATTTAGTATTAGTTTATAACCCCTGTGACTTAACTCTTCTGTAACCCAACACTTAACATAAGGAAAAGATTTCTGTAGTTGGGGATTTTATCCTCTCTACGCAGCTCAAGTGTCAGTAAGGCCCTTTTAAAAACATTCAAGTGATTTCTCCGGTGCACCCCACCTACATGGAAAATATTATAGTTAGTCAATCAAATTTTCCAAAAATTGAGCATTTGTTTCTCTTTTCTCACTGATTGCTGATAAATTTACCATAATGTGAAACAAAGTGAGTGCTTCATGCAGTCTTAATTTTGCTACCTCACAATGTTTCCCTTCTCCACAATAGACTTGCTTGTCAGGAAGAAACTTTTTAATGAACTCTTCACATAGCCCACCAAAAAAAGAAAAAAAGACTTTAGCCAGACACAAGGGAGGGAAATTCAGCTAAGATTAATGTTTTAATTGGAACATACAAAGCAGGCAGGGCTGAAATTGGACAGGACTCGGGATAGAGAAGCTTCTCAGGTTATATAGGGTTGGGTTTTTCAAATTTGGCTTGATTATTTTGTTATTGTGGTGAGTAGCCAGGAGGTCAAAGTTACATTTTATTCAGTGAAAATTACCCACACTTGTTACAAAGCTAAATTTAAAAGATCTTAGTATGTTCCTCTTCTTTGATGCTGTTGGACTTGACCAAGAAACATAGTTTATGATGTAACTAAAGACACTTAAAATTTATAGCCTATTACAAATGTTATATATTAGTATATCAGTACAGATCAGAGCTCAAGGTTTACTTGAATAGTCAGTGGATGGTTTGTCAGTTCTGAAAAATTACTGAACTCTGATAAAGTGGAACAATATGCTAGTGAATTTTGTTACAGATTCCTTCAATTTTTGCTATCTGCAGAGACTATCTTAGGGGAAAAAAGCAGTCCACAGCTCATTTTTCAGTCAGTTTCCAATAGGCCATTTTACCATGGGATTTTAATCATTCTTGAATAGTGGCAGATTGTTCTCTTTAAATGACTGGACAACTTGTTTCATCTTCCTTCTCAATCTAGAATGGTGAGAGTATCATGGTTGAAGTTGCAGCTGGACCTTTTGGAAATAATGAAAAGGTAGGGATGGCAATTAAATAGAAATGGCCATTTGGTGTATGTGTGTGTCTGTATATCCAGTTGATAATTTTGTCTTCCTTTGTAATTCATTGCTCATGTAGTGCATGTTAAGGTGTTGCAAAACTTAATTTCTCACAAAATATAGCCCTTTTATTAGTTATTCCAAATTATTAAATACCTATTGACTTGGGTTTCATCCTAGAATGATGGAAACTTTGTGGAAGCCACTGCTCAACCCTCAGCTCCCCATGAGAAAGTAAGGATTGTATTTCAGATCTGTTCATTGGACTTTAAATCATACCCTCTGAGACAAGACTCTTCTTTGGGGAAAAAAATTGATTGCCAAAAAAAAAAAAATCTGTTTCAAGATCTGAGTCCTATACTTGGTAAAAAGGAAAAAAAAAAATATGTGGGGATATTAGATTAACACTGTTAATCCTACATGTGTGTTGGGTTTCATTTTTCCAAAACTGCATTATCTGTTTCTTTGAAGCTTTCTATGTAGAATGTGTATATGTATGTGCCTAGTTTTGATTTTATTTTCTCTTAAAATGTTAAAGCAGTTATTCTAATGTCCATTCTTTCCTTCCTAAAAGAAAGATTACCGAGAGGTTTATTGGTGGCCTTTCTTTTTTTCTCTCTCTCTCTCTATCTCTTTTTTTTTTTTATAGTTACCAGTAGTCATCAGGGTACCAAAGCTAATCTATTTCTCAGTAATGAGTGTGTGCCTCATGCCTGTATCAATACTGGGCTTTGGAGACATTATTGTACCAGGTAAGCAAAGGTAACAATAAAAGTAAAAATATACTGATATTTTAAAATTGTCATATATATATGTGTATGTGTGTGTATATATATATATATTATATATAATATATATAGGCTCTGTTAAAAGTCACCTGTTTTATCAGGTATTTCTGGCTATCTCTAGAATTGGAATCAGTGACAAAAATAGAAAACAATATTTTAGGGGCTGGAGCTGTGACACAGAAGTTTAAGCTGCCTTCTGCAGTACTGTCATCCCATATGGGTGCTGATTCTGGTCCTGGCTGGTTCACTTGTGATCCAGCTCCCTGCTATGGCCAGAGAAAGCAGTGGAAGATGGCCCAAGTCCTTGGGCCCCTGCACTCATGTGGGAGACCTGGAAGATGCTGTGGCTCCTGGCTTTGACCTGGCCCAGCCCTGGTCATTGTGGCCATTTGGGCAGTGAACCATCAGATGGAAGATCTTTCTCTCTCTTTGTCTCTGCTCTTTCTCTCTGTAACGCTGACTTTCAAATAAACCAATAAATCAAAAAAATTATTTAAAAAAAAGTATTTTGAAATGTAGAAGATAAAGCATAAGTGCTAACAACCAACCATCTCTCCCATAATTCAAAACCTGTCTTAGGAGGAAGCAACTAGAATAAGTTTAACCTTCTTCCCAAAGAGAGTATATTTTGTGATCCTCTTTAAAAGTTGAAAACACTGGGGTTGATGTGGTACAGCCTGTTGAGCCATGGCCTGCAGCTCTGGAATCCCATGTGGGCACAGGTTCAAGTCTTAGCTGTTCCACTTCCTATCCAGCTCCCTGCTAACGCACCTGGGAAAGCAACAGAGGATGGCCCAGTCCTTGGGCCTCTGCACCCATGTGGGAGACCTGGAAGAAGTTCCTGGCTCTAGGCTTCAGCCTTGCCCAGCCCTGGCTGTTGTGGCCATTTGTTTAGTGAACCAGTAGATGAAATCTCTCTTTCTCTCTCTCTCTGTCTCTAACTCTGCCTTTCAAATAGATTAATAAATCTTTTTTTTAAAGAGCTGAATATACTAATGCCAGTTTTTGTTAGTTCTATTTTTTTTAATTCAAGATTTATTTATTTATTTGAAAGTCAGAGTTACACAAAGAGAGAAGGAGAGGCAGAGAGAGAGGTCTTCCATCCACTGGTTCACTCCTCAGTTGGCCGCAATGGCCGGAGCTGCGCTGATCCGAAGCCAGGAGCCAGGAACTTCCTCCAGGTCTCCAGTGTGGGTGCTTTCCCAGGCAGAAAGCTGAGAGCTGGATCAGAAGTGGAGCAGCCAGGACTTGAACCGGCGCACATATGGGATGCTGGCACCGCAGGTGGCAGCTTTACCCGCTAATCCACAGCGCTGGCCTCATTACTTCTATTTTAACATGATGGTTGTGTTTTATAAATGGTGGTTTTAGGATACTAGGCCAGGGCTTTATCAAGAGGAACTATAGTAGAACACCAGCATGTAGGGCTTCATAAAACAAAAAGACCAAAATGACACAGTTTATAATGGAACTGATCATCTTCTCCTTAGCATGTCTTTTCTGTCAGTTATTGCAGTTCTGCCTGTTTTTCTCACTGGGCTGTCTATGGAATAAATTATATCCCAGTCCAGTGATACTATATTTAGAAGTAACTAGTAATATTTCTGCATCAACTGAGTTTGTCCTTCACTCTTCTGACAGTCTCCCTATGTACTAAGTGTCTGAGGATGTGTGAAGAGTAGTGGCTTGTCTGAAAGTGTCCCTCTGTTTACATAGTAAAGCCAGTGGAGAGAGAAACTGGCAGTGAGCATGACAAAATCCAGTATAGCAACTTACTAACTTAGTGAATCTTCATTCATATAACTGATCAGGTATTCTATTGAGTAGCATTACAGCTCCTTGAACATCTTCAAACTCATCCCTTTTTTTCTACACAGAATATAAGATCTTGTATGTACCCCTTAGTGTAGAATTAATAACAAGAGTATATAAACATTGCATTCTTCAAGTAAATTTCAAGCAAATACATCTTGAAAGAACATTTATTGGCAATACATGTCTTAATTCCAAAGCTAAGTTCTAATTTGGAAGGGAAAAAGTACCTTTAAAAAAAAGATAAGAAACACACAGAAATATGATTAAAACTCCAAAGCAGAAAATAACAGGGAACTTATTTTGTTAATTATGGAGAGACCAAAACTAATGAGCTCAAACAGCCTATAAACATATTTTCTGATTTTTAAGTGGTTAAATGTCATTCCAATTGTTTTAATCTGAGATGTCTTCTTTGGATGGATTTGACACAATTTCTTATAAGAATAGATAATGAATGAGTTTCTGCATACTTGCATGTTTACAAATGAGAGCTTATATTGTTGCTTGAACTCTTTATAAAAATTGCAAATTATTATACTAAGAAAGGAGACTTTTTTAGGTTTATATCTGTTATTCCAGAATGTTAAGTTAAACACACAAACCTCTCAAATGTCATCATTATAGTGTTGTTTCATAGCAACAGTTTTAGAAAGGAGACTTTTTTGATCATGATTTGAAATTGCATTCCTAAAGGCCCTTTTAGTACATTTGATGTTTTTTTCATTTAATTATTTAAATTATAAAAAATTATATATGTTTATTGTATATAACATGTGGTTTTGAAATATGTACTTGTGGAATCAAGCTAATCAGTATCTGCTTTACCTCACTTTTTTTTTTTTTTTTTTTTTTTTTTGGTGAAAACACTTAAAATCTGCTCTCAGCAATTTTCAAGAATATAGCATATTTAGTTACTGTGTTGTAGAACAGATCTCTGGAACTTATCCTTATTGAAATGAAATTTTGTATTCTTTTACCAACATCTCAACCCTGCACCCTAGTCCAACCCTTTATAACCAACATTATACTCTACTTTTATGAGTTCAACTATTTTAGATTCTGTGCATAACTAAGATCTTGGCCGGCGCCACGGCTCAATAGGCTAATCTTCCACCTAGCGGCGCCGGCACACCAGGTTCTAGTCCCAGTCGGGGCGCCAGATTCTTTCCCGGTTGCCCCTCTTCCAGGCCAGCTCTCTGCTGTGGCCCGAGAGTGCAGTGGAGGATGGCCCAAGTGCTTGGGCCCTGCACCCCATGGGAGACCAGGAGAAGCACCTGGCTCCTACCTTCGGATCAACACGGTGCACCGGCCACAGCGCACCGGCCGTGGCGGCCATTGGAGGGTGAACCAACGGCAAAGGAAGACCTTTCTCTCTGTCTCTCTCTCTCTTTCTCACTATCTACTCTGTCAAAAAATAAATAAATAAATAAAAAATAACTAAGATCTTGTGGTATTCATCTCTCTGTGCTCAGCTTATTTCACTTAATATATTATCCTCCAGATTTAACAATGTTGTGAATGACAAGATTCCTTCTTTTTTTAAAAAAAATTATTTATTTATTTGAAAGTCAGAGTTAGAGTGAGGAGAGGCAGAGAGAGAGAATCTCTTCCATCCGATGGTTCACTCTCCAATTGGCCACAACAGCTGGAGCTGCGCTGATCCAAAGCCAGGAGCCAGGAGCTTCTTCCGGGTCTCCCACGTGGGTGCAGGGGCCCAAGGACTTCAGCCATCTTCTACTGCTTTCCCAGGCCACACCAGAGAGCTGGATCATAAGTGGAGCAGCCGAGTCTCGAACTGACGTCCATGTGAGATGCTGGTGCTTCAGGCCAGGGCATTAACCCAATGCACCACAGCACCAGCCCCAAGATTTCCCTATTTTTAAAGGTTGAATGGTATTCCATTTTGTATACATGCAACATTTTCTATGTCCATTCATTTGTTGCTGAACACTTCAGTTATTTTATATCCTAACTTTGTGAATGATTCTGCAATGAATATGGGAATGCAGATACTTCCTGCATATTTATTTTATTTCCTTTGTGTATATACATAGTAGTGGAATTGCTGGGTCATAATATAGCAGCATTATTTTTAATATTTTGAGGAACCTCAAACTATTTTGTATGACTGTACTATAATTTACATTCCTGTCAACAATGTGCAAGAGTTGCCCTTTTCTCCACTTCCCAGCCAACACTTTTTATCTGTTGTCTTATTTATAATGGGCATGTTAACAGATGTGAAGTGATACGTAATTTTAGTTTTTATTTGCATTTCTCTGATGATTAGTATGTGTAAACACTTTTTCTTATACCTGTTGACCATTTGTATGTCTTCTTTTAATGAATGATTACTCAGACGCCTTTTTCATTTTTTAATCAGGTTATTGGTTTTTTGTTTTGTTTTGTTTTTTAACAGGCAGAGTGGACAGTGAGAGAGAGAGACAGAGAGAAAGGTCTTCCTTTTGCCGTTGGTTCACCCCCCAATGGCCGCTGCTGCTGGCACACTGAGGCCAGTGCACCGCGCTGATCTGAAGCCAGGATCCAGGTGCTTCTCCTGGTTTCCCATGCGGGTGCATCCTCCACTGCCTTCCCGGGCCACAGCAGAGAGCTGGCCTGGAAGAGGAGCAACTGGGACAGAATCCAGCGCCCCAACCGGGACTAGAACCTGGTGTGCCGGCGCTGCAGGCGGAGGATTAGCCTATTGAGCCACGGCACCGGCCTAGGTTATTGGTTTTTTTTACCATTGAATTGTTTGCATTCCTTATATATTTTTATATTACCTTCTTATTGAATGCATGTTTTGTAAATATTTTCTCCTATTTTGTAAATTGTCTCTTTACCCTATTGATTGTACCCTTAGCTATGCAGATGCTTTTTAATTTCATGCAATCCAATTTGTTTATTCAGTACATATTTTTAAATGAAGCATGGGGGAATGTCTTTTTTTAATTTTTATTTTTTGACAGGCAGAGTTAGACAGTGAGAGAGAGAGAGAAACAGAGAGAAATGTCTTCCTTTCTGTTGGTTCACCCCCCCAAATGGCCGCTACAGCTGTCGCGCTACACTGATCCGAAGCCAGGAGCCAGGTGCTTCTTCCTGGTCTACCATGCGGGTGCAGGGCCCAAGCACGTGGGCCATCCTCCACTGCCCTCCTGGACCACAGCAGAGAGCTGGACTGGAAGAGGAGCAACCGGGACTAGAACCCGGGGTGCTAGCGCCGCAGGTGGAGGATTAGCCAAGTGAGCTGCAGTGCCGGCTGGGAAATGTTTTAAATAAGGCGTGAAGTTAAAAAATTCAAGATACTTTAATGTACTCATAATGCAAAAATAAAAGTTAAATACAGTTCAGTATGTACTATTACCACAGTTTTAACAGTTGAATTTATGTTGCTGGTTTTTTTAAGAAAATAATATGGAGAATTTTTTTTTTTAGGCCTGTTGATTGCATACTGTAGAAGATTTGATGTTCAGATGGGTTCTTCTTCTGTATACTATATTTCTTCTACTCTTGGTAATTTTTTTTTATTTTGCTGAATTGTGTTATTTAGAGGAAAAGAGTCTAAAAATAAGGAGTCCAGGATTTTAATTCTTTACTATAGTTAATTTAGTTTTTCCATCAATAGGGGATAATTATGCTTCGTAATTTATATTTATGTGAAATGAAAAATGAGATTCTCTGTAAAATGCATATTAAAATACTTGACACACAAGTAATGAAAATGTATATTACTACATTTTTAAATAATAGTTTATGGAAAACTGTGTATTTATATGATGTATGGTACAATAACCTCTCATCTGGGACAGCAGAGGTAGTTGTCACTTTATCCTTTATTTCTATTGAGAACAGAGTTAAGAATAAGAAGTAAATCCAAAAGTCTCCCACTACTATTGAACATACCAAATAGATCTCTCACAACCCCATACAACAGAACTCTTTACACTTGGGTAAATGGCCTACACCAGAGCTATTTAGATGCTTTTCTAGCAAGGTTTTAAAGTTCACAGTGGAACTAAATCCAATAAATTTAAAGTGTATATTAGCAGTAGAGAGGGATGTTACTAGAAATAGATACCCTAGTAGGAAGAATGAAGAAGATGGCGGGGGGCACCTATACAAAAATAAGAAAAGCAGTCTGAGGCCATTAAGTATGATTTCTCTTTGAGGTCACTCACATATTGGAGTCCAGTGCAAGTCCATATGGTAGAATAAAAGAATGATCAGTGTAAAAGCAAATTGTAGGAACTTTTTCCATTCTACTGTATAACTTTGGCAATTCACTTAGCCTCCATTGCCTCATCTTTAAAATGGGTAATTAGACTAGATTGTAAGACCCTTCGTGCTCCAGTATTCTGAGACTCTGTTTGTAATGAAGCCTTGAGTCATTAAGAAAAGTTCAAATGTTGTTTGGAATGTGCTTATTAAAGAAGCCTAGGAAGTATATAATCAATTTTAGGAAGTTTTTTTTTTTTTTTTTCAAAATAACCACTAGTATCTTCAGAGACAATTTTGGTTATCTAAAATGTAGAACAACTTAACATCCTTAATAACAACAGATAATTGAGACTTTTAAAATGATTATCGATTATTAATAGGTTAGTAGTAATAGAAATACTAGCCACATATTTCAGAAGCTCTGTAGAATACCTCCTAATTATTGTCTATGAAAATATGCTAAGTCATAGAGAGAGGTAGGATGTGTGTAGAAATGACTGATACACTTGTGTTCCTCTTGCAGCCTATGCTGTTGGCATGATACTTACATTTGTTGTTCTGGTGCTGATGAAGAAGGGACAACCTGCCCTCCTCTATTTAGTACCTTGCACACTTATTACTGCCTCCATCGTTGCTTGGAGACGTAAGGAAATGAAAAAGTTCTGGAAAGGTAGCAACTATCAGGTATGTACTTATATTTTGATTACCAAATTATCCTAATGACACAGTTCACTGAGTTTGGCAAGAAACAGCTTGTATCACAGCTTTTTTTTTTTTTTTAAAGATTGATTTATTTATTTGAAAGGCAGAGAGAGAGAGAAGTCTTTTATCCACTGGTTCCCTCCCCAAATGGCTGTAACAGCTGGAGCTGGGCCGATCCAAAGCCAGGAACCAGGAGTTTCTTCCAGGTGTCCCATGTGGATGCAGGGGCCCAAGGACTTGTGCCATTTTCTACTGCTTTCTCAGGTGCAATAGCAGGGAGTTGGATTGGAAGTGGAGCAGCCAGGGCGCAAACTGGCACCCATATCGGGTGCCAGCACTGTAGGCGACAGCTTTACCTGCTATGCCACAGCACTTTTGTGTATCAAAAACTTACCCTAGATCTATCTGAATTACATAGATTTTTCTTCCACTAACCCCCTGCTCAATGTCCATCCATTATGTCCTCAGTTCTTTACCCCCTGAAATCGATTACTCTATCTAGAAGCAGCAGAGGGTGAGGAAATGGCAAATTGGGGAATATAGGGGCCAGCGCCATGGCTCACTTGGTTAATCCTCTGCCTGCGGTGCAGGCATCCCATATGGGCACCGGGTTCTAGTCCTGGTTGCTCCTCTTCCAGTCCAGTTCTCTGCTGTGGCCTGGGAAGGCAGTGAAGGATGGCCCATGTGCTTGGACCCCTGCACCCGCATGGGAGACCAGGAAGAAGTACCTGGCTCCTGGCTTTGGATCGGCATAGCTCTGGCCGAAGCGGCCATTTGAGGAATGAACCAACAGAAGGAAGACCTTTCTCTCTTACTGTCTGTAACTCTACCTGTCAAATAAAAAAAAAAAAATTGGGAAATACAAAACAGCAATTCAGTATGCATTTTCAAAATCCATACAAAAGTAAACTCCATGAAAAATAAGCCTCAGTGTTTAAAATAAGTATTGAATTTTGAAGCTGACATTAGCTATAGTAAAAGTCTGGAGGTCTTACAGATAAAAGGTTACTTTCTCCAGTATCTAAGTGGGGCTAACTAAAATAGTTAGGGCATTCGTTTCAGATTTGAATGGATCAATTGATTTTTCTTTAAATTTTCTAGAACAAAGAAAATCTTGATACCAGAATCTTATGTTTGAGTTGTTTCTTCATTGACATTAAACCCCTTTCCTCTTTTACTAAATGTTCTCAGTATTTCAGTAAAGTGTCTGAATTGAAATTAAAGAGAGTTGGGAAACCCTAGTCTGTTAAGGTCAGGGCCATGGTATTGATCCCTTCATGAAGGCATTTTGTAAGGCAGTTGGTTCTGTTCTATTACAACAAACTACCCTCCTCCATCCCCCCTTATGATGTGTGTCGGTGATCACATGCACGAAGAGAGACACTTTGGGTGGGTGACTTGCAACTCTGTTAGTAGATAAACAGTTTAGTTCAAAGTTCATGTGGTTTGTCTGAAGTAGCATTTGTAGTGCTAACAAGAGGTGATTAACACATTAAGTTACAGGCTACTGTAAGGAAAAAAGCATTCTTTTGGGTAATTCTCATAATTTATTTCAGATTTGGATAAAATAATCACATCTGCCTTGCCTACTTCACATTGTGGTTGCCTTAGCTTACATTAATATATGCAGCATTAGTTCATGGCCACAAAGTCCTAGTCTAAATTAGTAAAGTAGCTTTTAACTTTTCCATGAAGATGACATGCAGATAGATTTTCATTTTATTTTATTTTTTAAATACTAGTAGGGGCCAGCACTGTGGCACAGCTGGTTAAGCCATCACTTGTGATTCTGGAATCACTTATTAGAGTGTCAATTAAAGTCCTGGCTTATGCCAAGGAAAGCAGTGGATGATGGCCTAAGTACTAACCTTTGAAAGTCATATCCCAAAAAGTGCTCTTCAACATTTTAAATATAGTTTTTTTATTTCTTCATTTAGCCAGTGTTTATCAAGCAGTCCCATAAGTTAGATACTATTTTAGGTACTAGGGATAGAAGATGAACAAGTTACAAACAGGCCTATTTTCATGGCCTCTTGAAAATCACAAACTAGTGGGGACTGCTGATTAAGGTCATGGTAGGTGCCATGAAAGCTGGAGATAGGACATCCATTGCTTGTAATTTTTAGCACTGGGTCCTAGGTGATTGAGGGAGGCTTCCTAAAGGACTGGTAAATTTGTATTGAATTTTTAATACTTAGTTATATATTCCATATTGAAGGAACCTGTCTTCAAAGGCCCAGGGCACATTCTAGAACTGAATAAAGTTTAGAATGGCAATAATGTTGAATAAGGGTGGAGGAGCTGCAGGAAATGAACACCAGAGAAACAAGGATCAAAGCCTATAGGATCTTGTAAGCTGCCTTAAAGCATTTGGACTATTCTGAGCATTGGAGACCACTAAAGAATTTTAAGAAATCTGGAAGATGGATTGAAGAAGGGAACGAAACTGGGGACAACTGTTGTAATGGAAGGCAGTAGTGGCCTAAATTGGTGAAGTAATAAAATGGAGAGACATGGACAATGTTAAGAGAAATTTAAAGGCAAATAAATGGAGTCTACTGGAAGATTGAGTGCGGAGGGAGGAAAAGGGAGTGGAATGCAGGGCTTCTGGCTTGGGTGGGTGAGTGATGATATTTATCACCGAGATAAAGGAAGGGCAACACTTTGGGAGGATAAATTAAGCATTGGACATGTTAAATGTTAGACATTTCAAAATACCTATAGGGCCACCAGAAAGAGACAGATAATAGACGGTTGAATAAATAGTTTTACCTGCAGGTGATAGACCTGGCTAGAAACAAAATTTTGTATTTTGAGTAGCATACAAAGTAAGTGAGAGAGAATGTAGAGGGAGAAGGAAATCCCCAAGACAGAACTGTAAGCACTGGAGGGGTATTAGCTGATTCACTGTGACTGAAACCAGGGCAAGGAAAAGAAACAAAATGGAGAAAATTTGTTTATGAGTGACATTAGATCTTGTGTTTAGGTTAGAATTTAAATTTCGGACTGTTACTGAGAGTGCATGTGCTATCTTACAAAAGTATTTGTTACTACACCAGTTTTTTTAAAATGTTTTTTTATTTATTTGAAAAGCAGAATTAGAGAAGGAGAGAGAGAGATCTTCATCTGCTGGTTCACTCTCTAAATGGCCACAATGGCCAGGGCTGGGCCAGGCCAAAGCCAGGAGCTTCTTCTGGGTCTTTCACCTGGTGCAGGGGGCCCAAGTACTTAGGCCATCTTCCTGCTGCTTTCCCAGGCACATGAACAGGAAACTGGATCAGAAGTAGAGTAGCTAGGACTCAAACCGGTGCCCATATAGGATGCCAGCACTGTGGGCCGTGGCTTTAACCCACTTCACCACAGTACCTGCCCCTACACTGCATTTTCCTTAAAAAAAAATTTCCTTCCCCTTCAATGCAATTTAAAGTATTTTATTATAAAAATGGCTTCCTATTGTAGAAAATTTGGAAAATGTAAGGAAATACAGGAATGGGCAGGCTTTTGGCCTAGCTGTTGAGATACTGATTAGGATGCCTGCATCATACATTGGAGTACCTGGGTTCACTCCTGGTTCTGACTGCTGATTCTAGCTTCCTGCTAATGCAGACCCTGGGAGGCAACAGTAATGACTCAAGAATTTGGGTTCCTACCATCCACATGGGAGACCTGCATTGAGTTCCCAGCTCCAGGCTTCAAGCCTCCTACTCAGGAACCAGTGGATGGGAGAGGCTTCCCTACTCTCCCCCTCTCTTCCTGCCTCTTAATTAAATAAATACAAATTAAAAATAAATACAAGGGGGCCAGTGTTGTGGTATAACAGGTTAAACTACCACCTGCAATGCTGGCATCCCATATGGGTGCCAGTTCCAGTCCCAACTGCTCCACTTCGATTCAAGCTCTCTGCTAATGTGCCTGGGAAGGCAGCAGATGATGGACCAAGTACTTGGACCCCTGCACCCACATGGGGGACCTGGAAGAAGCTCCTGACTCCTGGCTTCAGCCTGGCCCAACACCAGATGTTGCAGCCATTTGGGGAGTGAACCAGAGACTGGTAGATCTCTCTGAGTCCCCCTCTCTCTGCCTTTCAAATAAATTTTCAAAAAGAAAGAGAGAGAGGGCCGGCGCCGCGGCTCACTAGGCTAATCCTCCGCCTAGCGGCGCCGGCACACCGGGTTCTAGTCCCGGTCGGGGCGCCGGATTCTGTCCCGATTGCCCCTCTTCCAGGCCAGCCCTCTGCTGTGGCCAGGGAGTGCAGTGGAGGATGGCCCAAGTGCTTGGGCCCTGCACCCCATGGGAGACCAGGAAAAGCACCTGGCTCCTGGCTCCTGCCATCGGATCAGTGCGGCCATTGGAGGGTGAACCAACGGCAAAAGGAAGACCTTTCTCTCTGTCTCTCTCTCTCACTGTCCACTCTGCCTGTCAAAAAAAAAAAAAAAGAGAGAAAGAGAGGAAGGGAGGGAGGGAAGGAGGGAGAGAGGAAGGAAGGAAGGAGGGAGAGAGGAAGGGAGGAAGGGAGGAAGGGAGGAAGGGAGGAAGGGAGGAAGGGAGGAAGGGAGGAAGGGAA